GACATTGTCAACACGTTACGCTTTACACAATTTAGAATCTTAATTTAAATTGATTAAATTACGATTGATCTTTATATCACTAAATAGTATTTATGACATTCTTCAAACACTATAAGTTCTTTTCTTGTAGACTAAAGTCAAGACACATAGATTTGAAAGGCATGAACCATCCTATCATATACTTAATGACATCTATGACTTTTTTTGGAACGTCAAAACTTTATTTTATTTACTAAAAAAAAGCATAGCAAGGTACTTAGCAAAAAAAAAACCGACTAGTTTAAGATATTAAGGTGTATTGGAAGCCAACCAACCCAATTAAGAGTAATCTTATTACTCATATTTGACAATTATGAAAAAAAAAGATCGAGTTTCAATAAAAACAAAAATATAATCCTTTTTGCATGAATGGTTTTAAAAATCGGGTAGGGAAACCTCAAAATCGCGAGAAAAAAGCTTAGGGATGGCTAATAGAATGTCATTTGGTAAAATTGTTTTTATTTATTAGATTAGGGGATTATAAAGTACCAAAAATCATAAAAAATAATAATAATGCAACTACTTTTCCTTTTTTTTAAATACCAACTTTGTTCCTTCTTTTAAAAAAAAAAAAAGAACATTGTAATATTTAATATAATAAATTAGAAAGGAGAGGTCAGGGGTTGAAAGTCTCGGTGGAGACATGTATAATTATTTAGAAGTAGATTATAGTTAGTTTGCCCGTTTAAAAAAAAATACCCTTACTAAAAAAAAAAGTTAGCTATTTTTGTTATTGATTCTTTGCGATCAAATTATACTATGTTTGTTAAATTTATTGAATTTTTATTATTATTTATGGCAATTAATACATTTTGGACGTCAAAGATACCAAAAGAGCCAAGCATGATTGGGGATTGTAGCTTTTTAATAGTGGTAGGGGGGAGACGCCATCACGGTTACGGCTTCCGTGAAATATCTTTCAAATTTCAAACCCAACTCGCACAATTTCTTCTCAGTTTGATCAGTCTCTTTCAATTTCTTAGTCAATGGAGAACGGAATTGGAGCTCAAGTTTCATCATCGGCGTCTGGAGAACTACGTCGTGTGGGGCTGGTCTATGATGAACGGATGTGTAAGCATTCGACACCTACAGGCGAACCTCATCCCGAAAACCCCGATCGCATTCGTGCTATTTGGAACAAACTCATGTCCGCTAAAATTCCTCAGAGGTGTGTTCTCTTACACAAGCACACACGCTGGATATTTCAAGTACATGTAAATGTAACCTTGTTTTGGTGTAATTTTAAGGGATTTTAGATGAAATCATAGTGTCAGATAGTGTTGAAGTGACATAAATTTGTTCTCGGGTCATAACGTTCTGTATGTTGTATGAAATCTGCAATTCGTATATCTGAAGATTAAAGCAACCCTTATAAGCGATCATATCCACATGTAGAGATGACTTGCCATTTTGAGACATAATTATGCTTCTAGTACTAGATTTTGTTATTTACATTGCATGCATTTGTACACTCCAGATGTGTGGTCTTTGACGCCAAAGAAGTAGAAGACAAATACATAGCAGCAGTTCACACCAGTAATCACATCAATTTGATCAAGACTATAAGCTCTAAGAAATTGGCCTCACAAAGAGACAGGATTGCTGCAAAACTCAATTCAATATACTTCAATGAAGGTTCATCAGAATCTGCTTATCTTGCTGCTGGCTCTGTGCTTGATGTAAGAAGCTCATATCTGATTTAAGCTCTGATACATTTACATATCTGCAATCAACTATAATATTACTATACAATTTGTTCAACAGGTAGCTGCAAAAGTTGCAAAAGGTGAACTAAACTCAGCATTTGCCATTGTTAGACCTCCTGGACACCATGCAGAAGAAAATGAACCAATGGGATTCTGTTTATTCAACAACATTGCAATTGCAACAAGCTTTCTCCTTAACCAAAAAGTAAGACTGATCACTGATCAATGCATACAGTTTGTCAAATCAACAATTGACTACAATCTTATGAATTATCTATATTAATTCTTCTTATGTATGTTGTAGGAATTAGGTATTAACAAGATACTAATCGTTGATTGGGATGTTCATCATGGAAATGGTACTCAAAAGACCTTCTACAAGGACTCCCAAGTGCTGTTCTTCTCTGTACACAGGTAAATGATTAGTTACCAATAATACAAGTAAAAATGATAAATTTCAAATATTAATACAAGTATATAAATAATGCAGGGATGAGTATGGGACTTTTTATCCCTGTGGTGATGATGGATCATATGCCATGAAGGGTGAGGGAAAAGGTGAAGGATACAATATAAATGTTCCATGGGAGAATGGAAAATGTGGTGATGCAGATTATATTGCAGCATGGAACCATATACTGATCCCTGTTGCAAGAGAATTTAAACCTGATATAATTCTAGTTTCAGCAGGATTTGATGCAGGTTTAGTTCTACTTTTACTAACTCTTATTGATCATAAAGTTATGTTTTTGGGACTATAATTTTTCATTTTTTGTATTTTGAAACAGCTATTGGTGATCCTCTTGGAGGATGTCGTATCACACCACATGGTTTTGCTATATTGTTGAAGAAGGTTAGCACAAAATAAGTCATAAAATTGTGTTAAGGTTTATTTAATGGTGGTTGATGGTTTTGTTTAGTTGATGGAGTTTAGCAATGGAAAGATAGTTATGGCATTGGAGGGAGGATACAATCTCAACTCTATAGCAAATTCAGTACTTTCTTGTGTACAAGTTTTGTTAGAAGACAAACAAATTGTTGAACCTGATGAGATTTATCCATTTGAATCCACTTGGAGAGTAATCAAAGAGGTAAGTATAAGTAAACATCTTAATCTTAAATTTTGTTTAATCTCTTCTGAATTTTGAAAATTTTCATTTTCATTTTTTTTATTATGTGTTCAGGTTCGTGAGGAATTGAGTGCATATTGGCCGATACTTGCAGAGAAGTTACCTGAGAAGTTAACCAGTAGAGTAACACCTCTAGTTAAGGTAACTCAACCCTCTTTTTTGTCTTTTTTGTAGTGTGTTTATTTGTTTAAGTTGAGGTCATGTATTGTATGATGTATGTTGTAATAAAAACGGTTACCAGTTATCTGTTCCAATAAGTTGAACATACTTACAGTGGCCAATCCAGTATACTGGAAGTCAGGTGTGTGGACCCCACTCAGAAGTGGGTCCCACCAATGATATTATAGAAAAGCCAACTTGGATTCTCAGGTACACAAATTTTTTGCAACCTCATCAACGCTCCCAATCCATCATGATGATGATGATGATGATGACATCAGCAAAAAAAAAAAAAACTTGTGAAACTTATTATGTCCATCATGTGGTTGTAGATATACAGCTCAGAGTCAGAAGATGAAAATGATGATGATGAAGTATCAGAAGATGTTACAATACCACTTTCTAAACTCAAAGTTAGTGATGATGATGCTCATGGTACTCCAGCTAATTAATTATTTTCCTTAATCTGTTTTTACAAAAAAAAAATTGTTTCTAAATCTGGTAAGTTGGAAACTAAATGTAGATAAAGTTGAAGATTGGAGATCTAAGCTGTCGAAAGTTGATGTTTGGTATGCATCTTTTGGATCAAACATGAGTGAGTCAAGATTCCGATGTTATATACAAGGTGGCCAGGTAAATACCAAGCTTTTCAGCCCCTTTACCAGCTAGCTTTTCAGCTAACAGCTATACTGACAAACATAGCCAAGTATAAGTTTTTAGTTTTTTTAATATTTGAATTTTGTAGGTGGAAGGTATGAGAAGGGCATGTAAAGGAGCTGCTGACAAAAGTCAACCAAAGGAGGTGTTATGGAAGACTGTTCCTCATCGTTTATTCTTCGGTAGGGAGTCTACTGTTACGTGGGGTCCTGGAGGTGTTGCTTTCCTTAATCCTCAAACCAACAATCACGACAAAACATTTATGTGCCTTTATAGGATCACGTGTGTAACTTCTTACTAAATTCGTTTTTATTTTTACTAAATTCATTTTTATTTAATTTGAAATTCCAATTTCCATGCAGTCTTGAGCAGTTCAACGATGTTTTGCTTCAGGAGAATGTCTCTAGTGACACCACTTCTCCTTTCTTCGATCTGAATGCTTTAAACTCCATTGAAAATGAAAACAACATTTCTTTGAAAGCTCTCAAGGTATTATTTATATGCCATTGAAAATGAAAACAATTCAATCTTATTTTGTAGTTAACGACATTTGTTTGTTTGTTGTGTGTAGGATGGTTGGTATCATAACGTTGTCTACTTGGGAAAAGAAAAGGGTGTTCCAATTCTGACAATGACGTAAGCTTAATTTTTTTTACATTATGTTTTCTGTTTTTTTTTTTTTTTTTTTTTGAAATGTTTATTTTGGTTAAAATCCAGGTGTAGAGTTGATCAAGTTGAGGGGTTTAAATCTGGGAAGATACCATTGCGTCCACCAGCTAAAGAATATGCGGATACTTTGATTAGAGGACTTGTAATTGGAAAGCAGTTGTCAGAAGATGAAGCCATTGCTTACATAAATGAAGCATCTACTAAACCTTTATGACTTCATCATATCAAGTAAATTTCTAGGAAGGAGTGTTGTTTTTCACCTACGAAACTGATGATAATTGATATTGTGAATTCGTGATGAAAACCGATGAGATTGTGATGATTGAACTTCTGGTTTTTTCATTTAAAATTGGCTGTTTTTTTTGGGTTGAACTAACTACTTATATAGACTAATAGAAGAAAAGGCAACGCTACATGTTGGTTGGTTGGTTTGTTTTTTTTCTAACAGATGCAAATAAAGATTATAAAAAATTGAACATTTTAGGTTTTATTGATCACATAATTGGAATAAAAATTGCCAATACAATTACAACTACAATAAACTTAGCATATCCTTTAGCTTCCAATATAGTTTATCACCAATCTGGCAAGATAGAACCCTACTCTACAAAAGGGTAAAATTGTAAAACAAAATTGGTACTCATCTTGATTTAATAGCAGCATGGCCCTCATCACTCAAATGTTTATGTAATTTGGTCCTGACATTGGAAACAACCATAATATTAAGGCCAAACAGCAACACAACATATTAGGCATAAAATGTAGCAATCTATATTTTTTATATACCTTGAATCAAAATTAACTCCACAAGTATCACATTCATGCCCAGAATTTCTTGTTGTTGCCTGTGTGATAAGATATTATGTAACTTAATATTAAACACCAAATAAATTATATTTGGTAATAGAAAATTAATAATAATAACCTTAACTGATAATAATAATAATAATAATACCTTTTGTTTTTTGCCTCTAGTAGAGTTTTTTCCTTTTGAATTCCCCTCTTTTTTATTGATAACCTTTGAGGCAGGAGCTTGTTTAGCAACCTTTATCTTTACATTGGACTCATTAGCTTCTTCACCATTGTTCTCAATTTCTACACAAGGTTGAGATGATAATGATGATGATGATGGTTTCTCGCTATGTGAGCCATCATCATCATCATCAGATTTGTTGTCCACATCAGCATTGCCACTTATTTCAGGTTTATCTATTTTTTGTTGTTCTTCATCTTCTGGTTTTGTAGCTGTATCTTTCTTGCCTCCTCTCTTTCTTCTACCTTTCTTGTTATTATATTCCATCAAATCTACCTCTTCCTCTTCAACTTCAACATAAACTTTCTTTTTTGGCTTCTTCTTGTTCTTATTCCAAGATAACATTGCTTCTAAACTATTTTCATCATCATCATCATCATCATTATCATCTTTTTCTTCATCATGAGCTGTTTCTTCCTTCTCAATTATGACCTCTTCAAACTTTTCTTTCAGTTCTTCAACCTCATCAACAAGAACCTCACCATCATCAATGTCTTCACTTCTCAGATCATCATCTTTGTTTTCTGTAACTTCTTCTTCTTCTTCTTCTTCTTCATCTTCTTCTTCTTCTTCAAAAGCTTCCCTCAACTCTGCAACTTTCTCCTTATGCTTCTTGGATTGCTCATGATTCTTCCATTGTTTATCACTTTTAAACTTCTTCCCACACACCACACAGTAAAACTCATTCTTCCGCTCATCTTCTTCTTCCTCCTCCACCACCACCTCATCTGAATCCTCCATTTTTGCCCAATCAGGCTCCTCATACAACCTTGCTCTCTCTGCTTTCACTCTCTCCATTTCTTTCTTCCTTGCCCTTTCCTCCTCTTTCTTTTTCTCAATCTCCTCATTCCTCTTCATCTGCATATCAATCACTCTCTTATCCCTCTTCTTCACGAACTCTGCTAAACCCCTAACAGTTTCGTTATACTCTCTCTTAGCCTTCTTCCTGATCTTCTTATTCTCATCCTCCATCATCCTCCGAGACTTCCGATTCGGTCCTGCATTTGCATCATACTCATCCTCCCAAACAAAATCCATCACTGTTACGAACCCTAACCAGTATCCGTAAAACGCATTCACTTGAGCATATGGACTATCCAAATTACCCATCAGTGGCGCCTCTTTAACAACATCTCCTAACCCTAACGTCTTCGCGAATTTCAGTTCGTTTCGATAGATTTTATCGAACACATCGGCGTAAACCTTATAGAAACCCTTACCTTTATCTGAAAATCCAGAGTAAACGGAATTTGAGAAGAAGGATAAGAGATCGGGGACGACAGCAGAGCCGGAGGATGAATTGTTAGGGTTTGAACCGGAGAAGAGGATTTGAGAGCGGTGGGAATCGTACCATGTGCGCTCTCGCACATCGGAGAGGACCTCGTAAGCATTGACGAGCTCCTGGAAGGAAGCGGTGGCTTCAGCTTCGCTGACGCCGGACTTGATTAGCTTGTCCGGGTGACGTTGGAGAGCGAGCTTTCTGTACGCCGAGCGGATTTCATCGGCGGTGCAATCGCGTTGGAGACCAAGGACTTCGTAGAGGCATCGCTTCTCCGGCGAAGTCATTGTGTCTGTTGGAGCGGTTGTAGTCTCGTCAACTAGGGTTTTTGATCCTTTAATGTTCGTTGGTATTATGATTCATGTACAATGTTGAGGCAGGGGTTTCTAAATAAAATATCTAAAATTTCATATATCAAAACTATTATAAATTAAATAATTTTTAAGACAAATTATTCAAACCTTTATATATGAAAATTTTTCTATAAAAATTCAAATAACAAAATTGAGTATCCGCTTTTTCTCTTTTAATATAGGGAAAATGATTTTAAAAAGTAACAAAGTTTCCAAAATATTGAAAAAAATATCCTTGTTTTTTTAGTATAAAAAATCCTGTTAAATTATATTTTTTTTGTATGCAGAATATCATTGAAGTGTACATGTGTTTAAATAAACATTTAAGAATTCTCATGACATGATGTCACAATTGTTTTTCTTTTTAACCAATGTTCACGTTGAAGAATATAACATCTCGAATTTAGGGCTAAAAGTTAAAGAATAAATAAACAAGCAAACTATTTAAAAATGACAAATAATTATATTAAGAAATAAAGTAGAATATTTTGAAAGTTTAGAATGATGATTTCTCAATATTTAGGTATTTGGGGACTAAAAATGTCAAGTTACTAAGAGTATGACTTAACTAGATTTTTACTTATTTAACTGTTTAAGACCAGTTTAATAATGTTTTGGATGAAAAGGGACTTGTGATTTACAGTAGCAAAGTTACATCTCACATATTAGTACCTTAGGTCATTTTTGTAATAATAATAATAATAATAATAATAATAATAATAATAATAATAATAGTAATAATAAAACACAAATATAAGGGATAGGAAGTGAAAATTTATAAAATAATAGCCTTACGCTCTTCATTTCAGGAGATGGGATTGACCGGGAGAAGCTAAGGCTGTGAAAATAATGATTTCATCATAAGAAACCCTTAGAATTCGATCTCAAGCTTTCTTAGTTCATTTGGTGAAAGTTGTGTAGTAATCTAGTGGTTTAAGGTATACTTTCTTCCTCCATTTGTGTATAAATCCGAGTTTCACCTTTTTTTTGAGAGTTGAATTCGATTTTCATCTCATTTGATGACTAGGGTTTTGTGTTCTAATCAAGTTAAGATGATCATGTTGGTTTCTAACTCAAAGCCATCATTTCATGGTAGATTTGATATTGATTTTGCTAAATCTCCATAAACCCTAGTGTAACGTCCAAATTTCAAACCAAAATTTTCCATTCCAATTTCAACTTTAAAGATCTAAATAAAAGCAGCTGATTTAAAACATCTATCAGAGTATAAACATGGGAGTTATTAAATGCGGAAATCTTTAATGGATGCGATGCAATCAAGCCGCGCCCTTCCTCAAAATATTAGAAAACCCGAAACAATTAAATTATAAAATCGTAAGCACAAAGCTTAGTGAGTTCCAAAAAATACCACATATCATACATATTAGTAGACTTAACCCTAGGGGTATATTTCAACTCATATGAATGTTATGATCCAACCGTAGTCTTACAATCATTTCCGTTGCTACAACTTAGCTACAGTCTTTCTTGCCATGATCCAACTATGGTCTTCCATGCAAGTCACAAAGACAAACATGTGTTGTGATCCAATCACAATCTTTCATGCAAAGTCACAAATATAATATAGTAATCTACATAATATCTTTTACTACTCACTAGATGCATTGATCAGTGAAAGGGTAAAATTATCTAGATTGGACATATTAATAATTATCATGGTTCTAAAAAGTGCGTCATGGTGTGTTCAAGGCGAGGTTTTTTTTTTTTTTTTTTTTTTTTTTATATATTTTCCGATCGGCCCTAAAATAATTGAGTTTTTGTTAATTTTTTGATACTAAATATTAATATAATACTTCTAAAAACTTAATATATTTGATAAAATTCAATAATTATATGATTTATCTTTTTTAATTTACGCATTGAAAAATGTTATGGTTCGCTAAAATTTATTATGTCTTAACCTACATAATATCTTTTACTACTCACTAGATGCATTGATCAGTGAAAGAGTAAAATTATCTAGATTGGACATATTAATAATTATCATGGTTTTAAAAAGTGCGCCATGGCGTGTCCAATGCGAGGTTTGTTTGTTTGTTTGTTCTTTTTTTTTTTTTTTTTTCCGATCGGCCCTAAAATAATTGAGTTTTTGTTAAATTTTTTGATACTAAATATTAATATAATACTTCTAAAAACTTGATATATTTGATAAAATTCAATAATTATATGATTTATCTTTTTTAATTTATGCTTTGAAAAACGTTATGGTTCGCTAAAGCTTATCATGTCTTAACTTTAACATTGCCGCCAAGTAACGCCTCATGTTATTTAGATATCAGATAATTATCAATATTCATTTTACAAACTCACGCACTAATAATTTTATTTTTTGTTTTTTTATAAGAATTATGGAAATTTTCTAAAAACAGTATTTATTATAACTTTATGAAGAAACTTACAAATTCAGATCCAAAACATATATCTCTTTGAAACATAGAGGCGTATGCAAAAAGGTTTATATATTGTCAAGGGTACAAAGTCTTTTACCTAAGCAATAAAATATATCATCCATTCATGTCGATCATATTGGAATGATACTTATGATAAAAAAATCTATAAAATACCAAATAAGAAGCCGTGTGCGCTATAATAAACAAACAACTGTAACAATATCTTTTATGTACAACGCCTCTTGAACATTATATGTTCCTTTTTGAATTTCGGATGTTATTTTCGTCTAAAATACAATAAAGATTTTAAGCAATTTATTATACATAAACAAGTATTCATAATATATTTTAAGCAATTTATTATACATAAACAAGTATTCATAATATATTTTAAGCAAAATACGAAATAATTCAAAGGTATAAATCCATGCCAAAATGAATATGATAATGTGACCCTTTACATTAAATGTTTACAAGAATCTCTTCTATGGATTTTATGAAAATATAAAATATATAACAATATGTGTATTATTATATTATATATAACGTAAAGCTAAATATAATTAAGCAATGCAAAACAATGTAACTATAGACACAATTGAAATCAACATTGCACTAATACCTTCTTTCCAAATCCAACTCAAATGAGAGAAGAGAAATGGAAAGAAAAAAAAAAAAAAAAATCTTGTTTTCAAAATTATTTTTTTGAAATAACCGGAGAGACCAAAAGAAAAGATAATGGATGTTCTCTCGTAAACACCCTCCCAAATTGGAGGGATTTGAAGGAAAGTAGATGTAAAAAAGTGTTTGTTTATAGAAAGGAAAGAAATCTCTGCATTGTATCGAAGCCTTTTCCTCTTAACAAATTTGCCCACTTTCCCCCAGCATAACTCAAGGACCCAAAGAACGTCTTCAGGATTCAAAGTTCTTCACTTCGACATCTTCGAATTGTTCATGTAAGCTTTTCATATTCTGAAGCTTTGATTTCGATTTTAATGTTGTTTCTTTTTAGTACTGTTTTCACTTTCAATATATTTCTGTTTCATGGTTTTAATCTCATCCATTCTCATCAAATTTGTGCGTATTTGAATGCCTGTTCTAGGGTTTTGTTTTGAATATCCGATCAGTGTTTTTAAGTATTTGCCACCATTTCTTTGTCGATAATAACTTTCCCCTGATTATTCACTTATATTCAACAACGACATTTACCATAATTCTAATTTTCCTGATGCCAGTGTAATTTGATGGAAGAATTGATCTGTTCACGAATAATTCCTATTCGTGGCTATGGTAATCAGAGAAACACCCCCTTCATATTCGACAATACATCCCTAATTAGAATTTCCATATCACCCCCTCATGTTTTGTAATCTTTCACATTGTATTCGTTTTAAAATGAAATGTAACATTGTTAGTCCCTGACCTTCTCTCTTTATTTCATAACCTACCCCAAAATCTATTTCTTTTATTCATTGATAGGAGTTTTCATATTACCTCCACAACTTTCGTAATTCCTCATTTCTTTTATTGAAATAATTTACTAATTGAACTCATGTGATTTTAGATGTCCATTGAACCTCATATATTAGTAGCATAAAGTACGTAAACATTCTCTTTTACTAATCCATTTGGTTTGTTGACCAACTGGTTTTTGTTTGACTTTAGAGATCCATTATTATTATTATTTTTTTAAATAGGCTCGAAAACCAGGATGTGCGGATCTTTTTATCTGCTATGGTGGCGTCCAGCTTAAGGAGGCTGTGTCTTCAAAGATGTTGATGATTTTATATCACTAATATTATTTAAGTGTAATGGGGTTAATTTGTTGATCAATGTCACTTTGACAATTATTGAACAAATTAGTATGGTGCGGAGTGCACATTTGTTTGATTTTGTCATTGTTGAAAGTATACTGCTATTTTGAGGCGAAGCCTCTGAATTGACGGGGGTTTGGGGACAGCGCCCCTGGGAGCGGGGTCCTAGGGGCAGAGCCCCTGGTTGGTTTTGTGATCCATTTATAGACCCGGTTTTATGGTAGTTTATGACAGGTAATATGGCCGTTTTTGGACAGGAAGTTATTTAGATATAACTACCATATGGCAGTTAAGACAGAAAGTTAGTTTTCTGTTATATATGATCAATTTCGGATTCTATTATTGGGTACAAATTCATAACATCTTCTTCATTCTATATTCTAGAAAAATAGTGAGTTTCATCCGATTAGAGATTTTGAGTGTACCCTCGAAATGCTTTAATCTGAAAGTGTTTCACAACTCTCACTAATCCAAGTTTATCTATACCCCGATTTTCTAACAAAAGACGGATTGGCTAGTGTTCAACTTCAAAGATCTTATAAACTCTTTGGAATAACTTCAACCCGTTTTTTATTATTTGTTAAACATGAATTAATATGAGGAAGTTTTAAAAATTTATATGGTTTGGTTAATGTTTTGTTAAAGTGTTCATAGCCATTGAAGGGATAAAATTAATTGGGTGAAACCAGGGGCTTGAAGCTTACAAATT